CGTCTTTTATCTATAATATGTATGAACTAAAAGATTTTAATGGTTAACGAATTGTTATTATCTCTTAAGATCTCCAATTCAAGCACCATATATGCATGAATATGAGTATTCAATACCAAATGATTGTAAGTTTTTGAACATATATTATATATATTTATCCCAAATTAATAGGAAAAAAAGCAATCTAATTTCTATATTCTCAATATAAGAATTTGAACTTCTGATTTTATAATTAAGTTTATAGATGAAATCATGATATTATGAATGAAAAAAATGAATTTAAGAAGATTGTCTTTATAATAAAGTTTTAATAAAATTTAATTTAAATTAATTAAAAATCAAATATCAATAATTATAAGGGTAAAATACAAAAATGATCCATCAGTTGTAGAGTATTATTTTATTTAGTTCATCGACTATTAAAAGTTATAAAATGATCCTTTGACTATAACTTGTTGCTTTGTTGAATACCTCAAATATTAAAAGTTGCAAAATGGTCATTGACTATTGATTATGTTCCAAAAGCATAATTTTTCGTTAAAACATGGACAATATTATGAGTTGAATGTTAATCTGTTGATTTTGATACAATAAAACTTGATTACAGAATTTAAAACGACTATCATATCCTAGTCATCATGTTAACGTCCAACTTAAACAACAGCCAATATTTTAATAGAAAATGGCAAATTTGTAACATATTGAACAATCAAGCGACCATTTTACAACTTTTATTAGTCGATGTATTCAACAAAACAACACTCTTATTTAACTTTTAATTATCGTTAGACTTAATAAAACAATATACTATAGTCGATTGACAATTTATAATTTACCCTAATTATAAAAAAGTAAACTTGATTTTTTTTAATAGATCTTATGAGATACATGGGGCTTGGTTGAATATGGTTCACAAGTCTTGATTTGACTTTATTCTCGCATCCTTTGCTGATTCATCGTATGGTAATCACCCTAACCCCCTCGACCCTCTCTAGAGATGAAAACCAATATTTTGATGAAACTGACACATGACTTGGAGCTCAAGTCAACTGCCAACTATTAAATGACTATTTGGCACGTCAAGAGGCAGAGGCCTTCCAATTCTCTTCTTAAGATAAAGTTGTCCGTAAATTTTAATATAATTATATATAAGATTATTCGAGATACACAGAATAATCGTATTTTAAAAAAATTTATATAACATTTAAGATTTTTTTTATTTATTTTCTTATTGATGATATAATTTTGTATCTCTAAAATTTTATAATTTTTAAAATTTTAATATAAATTTGCAAAAAAAAATTATTATCTGTCATCATAATCAAGTGTCAAATAACAGAAATAGTTTCATATCCGTTAAATATTGATACGTTGATGTGTTTTTGACAGAAACTTGCTAGTTTTATTAAAAATAAAAAATGTTTAAAATTACAATAAAGATTTATAATTATAACTATAAATGTAAACTAAATTATAATTAGTATATTTTTCTATAACCATTGATAAAAAAAATAGCCAACTAGATCACAGGATCAAAGAAGAAAAATGTTAAAAACTAACTAACGAAAATACTCGAACAAAATAAAGATTTGAAGAAATCTGACTGCATCGGGAAGCGAACTATAAAAGGGATTAAGTTACTGAAAGACCACTAACAAATCGCAAATCAAAGTCAAATTACGTGATAAAATTATCCGTGAACAAAAAACACATATCCAAATCAATTCGAGGGTCCAAAGCATGACAGATCAGCATGATAACAAATAAGTGTTATCTTGATTAGTTATGACGATGTCAAATCTAACCCTAAAAAATAAACGAAAACAACAATCAAAAAGTCTAGAATTATCAAAAGACATAGATAAACGTGTCACAAAAACAAAATAAACATGTCATAAAAATATAATTATTCTTAAAAAATTAAAAAAATAAAGAGAAAAAATAATCGATGGCCGACAAATAAAATAAAAAAAATTGATTTAATCTACATAAAATAACATAAATTACAAAGAAAAAAATGGAAGGAGAGAGGGGAATAAGAGAGCGACTAGGATTTTGGATACATTAAAATTTTAAATATTATATTTTTGATAAATTCACGTATTTTTTAAAATATGTTTTATAATATTAATATTTAATGACGTGGCAGGCAGAGTATGAGCCCAGTCCAATAATTGCTTCATTTCATATTGGACTGCTTAAACACATGACAATAAATGTTTTTATTATTAACTTCATTTCGTTCGCCTGTAAATGATTTTTAGATTCATTTTTCCTGCACTCTTTTACTATTTTCTCTAAATTTGCATGAAAAGCACAAACACAACATAATTACATCTAGAGAAAATAATTTCACTGACAAAAAATATTTATAATATATGATTTTAATTAATTTTTTTTTGGATTTGTCAAAATGACCAACTAAATCGCAATGCGATCGATAATTCGTAACGCGATCTCCGGTATCGCAAATCAGTTGTTTCCAGATTCGCAACGCGAACTTCGACTATCGCATTGCGATTTACATATTCGCATTGCGATAGTCCAAGTTCGCGTTGCGATTTATTCTAAGTTCGTTGCGATAGTCCAAAATCGCAACGACGATATTGCATTTGTTTCTTAAGAATTTTCTCTAAAAAGATAGTATTCGCGCAGACGTGTCGAAGACACGTATTACCATTACCAAGACCACGACCACGACCACGACCGCGATAGTCTAAGTTCGTATTGCGATAGTCGAAGTTCGCGTTGCGATAGTCGAAGTTCGCGTTGCGAATTTGAAAACTGATTTGCGATACCGGAGATCGCGTTGCGAATTATCGATCGCATTACGATTTAGTTGGTCATTTTAACAAATCCAAAAACAATTGATTAAAATCGTATATTATAAGATATTTTTTGTCACTGAAGTTATTTTCTCTTACATCTAATAATGTATCAACCGTAACCACCGTTCATTTTCTCTACTGATCACGATGCCGACTACTTCGTTTTCTCTGTTCCGTTACCGATCACCAATCGTAACCACCGTTCTCCTCCGCCACTTATACCCCAATCGCCGCCAAACAGTCCCCTTCCGATCCCAGACAACAAAACGCATCCAGAAGAACGACGCGGAACAAGAATCTCCTCAAAGCCAAACACGTCTTGAAAGATTTCTCATTCCTCGCCCCAGCGCTTTCTCCTAACGAAACTCCTCCCCTTTCTGACTCCCAAGCTATCGGCACCGTCGCCGCCTCCCAAGCCAACTTCAGGCGCGTTATCGTCCAACCGGAACGGAGCAGCTCCGATGGAGGAGATTCTAAAGTCGGCGTCGAGTTGCTGTGCGTTGTGAGGGACGTTTTGAAGAAGATAAAGAGGAGGGTTCTGGTAGGAGACAAGGTGGTGGTCGGGTCCATTGATTTGGTGGACCGACGTGGCGTCATCGAAAATGTGTTTCAACGGAGCTCCGAGCCAATGTTGATCACTTGCTCGTGCTTTTCTCGATGGAACAGCCGAGGATTATGCTTACAAGATTCTTAGTTGAAGCCGAGTTCCACTGGAATTCCTCTCACGCTTGCTTTGAACAAAACGGAACTCGTCGATGAAGAGGTTCGATTTCGAACCTTGATGCTCTCTTATGGCTCTGAATTGAGTGTAATGTTGCTTATTGAATATGTTTTCATTGCGAATTATTTGTTGAAAATTGAAATTATGAAATGTATTTGCAGACTCTTGAGGCATGGAAGAAAAAATTGAGAAGCTGGGGTTATGAACCACTTTTCTGCAGTGTTGAGACCAAAAATGGCCTTGATTCTATGGCTTTTTACTTGAGGGATCAAACGACTGTAATTCTCGGTCCGAGTGGGGTTGGGAAATCAAGCCTTATCAATGTTCTGAGAAGTAATCAAAGTTCGTCTGACGCTCTTGAAGGAGATAACTGGTTTGATCCTGTGGGTTTGTTTTCCAAATTCTGCAAGACTTCTCTCTCCATTTTTCTTTGTGTCGAGAATGGCAAGTCATGTATAATTCAATTCCTTAAAAAGAATTTCTTTCCTTTAGATTTTAGGCAGTAACTGGTTTGAAGATCAGAGGGTTGGGGAGGTTTCAACAAGAAGTGGTAGAGGAAAGCGTACTACTTGACATGTATCTTCGCTTCCGCTGTCAGGAGGGGGTTTTCTCGTCGATACGCCTGGGTTTAACCAACCTAGTTTGTTGAAAATGACAAAGCACTCTCTTGAACAAGCTTTCCCTGAGGTTGTCTGCTTGCTGACTGTAATATAGTACACTACAGCAACTTCTAATGTGGGTTTGACTCTATTTTGCTCCATCTGATAATCTTTACTTTGGGTTCCCCTCAACTACTAATTTTCAGATGGAACCTGCGAAATGCTCATTTAATAGCTGCCTACATATTGGTGAACCGGGGTGCATTGTTATAGGGGATTGGCAAAGATATCCTTACTATTTCCAACTTCTTGACGAGATCAGGATCAGAGAAGAATATCAGTTGAGGATGTTTGGGACCAAAAGAGAGGGTGATGTTAGGTACGTAAACTATGATGTGCATCACTTAAAATGTTAATTGCCTTGCAAGAAAATCCCTTTTCATACAGTCCTATATAATCTACAGACAAGGGCGATCATATTTTTATTTTCGCCAGTGATTTTCATATCTTCGGTATCATGTTCATACTTGCAGCTGTTCTTACTGTTATGAAATAATAGTCTAGTGAGAAATGCTTAGATCCACAATATTTTACAGTCTACATTTCTATACAAGTATTCCTTCAATTTGGGATTTACCCGGACTTCTCATCTAGATATGGTTCAAGTTATATGACTTGCTAACTTGTAAACATATGCAACTTCATTCTGAAATTTAGAGAATCCTATTTGCAGGTGCAAAGGTGGGAGAGATATGGACATTCAGCGAGCTGAACCCCGACTGGACCCAAAGAAACATAGGCTTATGCTTTAAATCATATCCAGCCATTTGGCATAATGTAAACAATAGAGGCATGAAAGAGATGCAAATGCAAATGAAAATACTCTTCAGTTGTTTAATAGCAACATAGTAGAGGCAAAGGAAAGATAAAAGGGATGCTTAAGGGTTCCCCTCAACCAATTGTTTTCAAGTAACCTAGCAGACTACAGTAATCAAAATGAAATCCATTCAGCTTCCTAGCAACGGAAGATGAAATCAAAATGACCCTACTTCTTGGTGCCTTTCTTCTTCGAACTCACAGCTACCTGAGGCTTGGGATGCTTCTCGGCCTCACTGGGATCCAACCAATTGAGTGGGCGGCGGTTGAAGAAAGGCCAATTCGGAACAGTAATCAAGGCAGTGAGGGTCACGCCACCGGCATATACGAGCATCATCATCTGAAACGATCCCAACACATAACCAGCAACGAATGAAACCACTGCAAACACCAATAGCAGTACCTGCATTATCTGCTCTGCTAGCTTTTGCCCTTGCCAGTCCATCTATCAATACAATTCAACACCAATTAACGTAACAAATACCAAAACTACACTATAACTAAAGAGACACTGATCTTTGCTAATTTTATTTCCTATTTCACCATTACTGCAGGTATCATATATACAGAAAAAACTGAATCTCGATCCCCAAAATGGTTCTCCTTCAAGTTTTCTTCGTTAAATCCCAGAGATCGTTGAAGATCGACAAATCAAAGCCGTAAATGTTGTTTGGTTAGAAAGAGAGAGAAAACGAACAAAGAAGTCAATCGCGGTCAGAAGGGGGGAAAACAAAAAAGAGAGATTGCAATTAGAGCATCAAATCGTGGAGGGTAAACATTAGGGTTTCGTCAGATTTCAGAGTAATTAAACCTAAAATCATCCTCGCCTTCGAAGCGTGAATGCTCATTCTCTTCCATTTTCAACATAATTCTTGAACTTCGATCCACGAGCAAATAATACAAATGATAATTTTTTTGGGAAAAAAAGGAAAAAAAAACGAACGAAAAGAGAGTTGAATCACATGGAAACTTTAAAGCTTAAAACAAAAAAGAAATTTACCAGAAAGTAAAATGGAGAAGCGAAGACAGGGGGAGGATGGTTGAAACTGAAAGTCAAGCAACAAGGAAGGAAGTGTACAGTACGTGAGAAATTCAAGTTCAGATTTTAACATATGGGGAACTTACGATATCTCATGACCGCAGGATCCAAAGCAAGAATGGATACAATAGCCGTTGGATCAACTTCTCAAAACTAGGTGCAACTGAAAGCTGTTTTATGCTTTTGTTTACTAGTAATAAAGCCCTTTATTAATGTTCGGTGTTTGCTTCAAGTATTATGGGAATCTCATATCTCATATTTGGTTGGTTGAGAATCTCATTTTCGGTAATGTTTTATTATTAATAGTAGATTTTTTGGGATATATTACCGGGAATGTCATTACCTCCCTTCCCTTAGGTATTGTAACATTACCGGCGTTTTGGACTAAAATGCCCTTAAATTTTTATTTTTTTAAAAAAATATCATTCTTCTGTAATTGAATAATAAAAATTCTACGAAGATTAAATTACAAATTTATCCTTAAATTATTTTAAATTTACAAAAAAAAATCTATAATTAAAATTTTATTTGAAGTTCAGGGGTTAAATTTTTTTTACCCTTTCATTAAACCCTTTTTATATTTTTAATTTTGTAAAAAAATTATATAAATATTATGAATTTAATTTTTTAAAGAAAATATATAAATATTTTACAATTTGTAATATTATACAAATATATAATAAGGACAAATTGGTCAAATATACATTTCAATAATCTTTTATTCATTTAACCAAACACGGTAATCTTACATTCCTGCTAAACCAACCAAACACAAAATACAACATTCCCAGTAATCCTATTCCCTTGTAATCTTTTATTCATACTGGAAATCTTACATTCCGTGAACCAAACGCACCCTAAATGTGTTTTACAAAATAGTGTTTTATTAATGGTATGAATTATAAAAAGAATTATTTTTAAGATGAAATACACAAACGTATTAGTGATAACCTTTTTTTAATACAATTAATCACGGGTTTAAGATCCGTAATGCGATGGTCTTAAATGATCAAGTATGAATCGATCATCTAAAACATTGAATAAATCACTAAAAATTGAATAAATATAAATACATAATACTCGGCGACTGTTTGGTTCCGGTAATCTAGGATTACCGGGGGAATGAAATGATATTTCCACGTTTGATTGACTAACATTCACAGTCTCCGGTAATCTTTTATTACCAATAGTGATATTAGGGTATATTATTGGGAATGTGATTACCTCCATTTCCTTAAGTATTATTGGATTACCGGCGTTTTGGACTAAAATGTCCTTAAAATTTTTTCTTCAAAAATATATTTCTTATGTCGTTGAATAAAAAAAAAATACAAGAATGTTAAATTACAAATTTATCCTTAAATTATTTTAAATTTACAAAAAAAATCCATAATTAGAATTTTATATAAAGTTCAGGGGTTAAAATAAAATTTTACATTTTCATTAAATATATTTATCTTTTTAATTTTGTAGGAAAAATTATATAAATTTTATGAATTTAAATTTTTTAAAGAAAATATATAAATTAATTAGAGTAGAATTCAACTTGTTAAAAAATAAATATATATAAGGATAATTTGGTAAAATATACATTCTAATAATTTTTATTCTTTTAACTAAACACGGTAATCTTACATTCATGCTAAACGAACCAAACACAAAATACAACATTCTCAGTAATCTTATTCCCGTCAGTAATTCTATTCCAACTGGTAATCTTATATTCCGTGAACCAATCGCACCCTCAAAAAATCATTTATATCATCGAGAAACGCTAGAGGCAACATGGAAAAACCATAGAGTTTAGATTGAAGGACTATATTACTTAAATGACAAGTGATACAAATAACCACGGTCTGTCACGTTGGAGTACCATTAATTTAATTTATAAAAATTAAAAGATTTAATGTATAACTATAAATTGGTTAAAAATTTAAAGATAAATTATTTAAAATAAAATGTTAATTACATTATTTTTTATAATTTTTTAATAATCTATAAAATAATATGTTACTATTATTTTTTATAACCACCGATATTTGATCTATTGATTGATTAATTCGGATCGGATACAGTAGAAATAAAGACGACTCTCCCAACCCAGTTTAATTCATTTCCAATCGCCAAAATTCGAACCCATGTCCTTACTTAAAGAAATTAATGTCTCATCCATCTAGATCAACCTATTGTTAGCTTTACTAATCGTTTGTAAGTAGATTTAAGTTCAGCTGTAAGTTACCTCTTTCTTGACTGCTCCTCTTTCTCGGACAAAGTTAACTCGATGTGGCAAGGAGAAGACATTTAAGCTGGCAAAAAGAACAGCCTTATAAAGATATAAAGACAATAGACAGTAAAGAACGACAAGTGCATGACTGCATGGTTCTAAGACACACGATTGATTCTTCCATGGGCACGGTAAGTACGACGCCTTTGTTTCTGAGCCTGGTTAACCTGGATGTGAGAAATATAGAGCACATCGACATCCAAACCCTTATCCTGAGAAATTAATTTCAGGGTTTATTATGAACAGAAATCAATAGAATTGAGTTCAAACAAAAACGACAAGAGTAGGCATACCTCAGCATTACTCTCTGCATTCTCCAACAAATCTAGAATGAACTTGGCAGATTTTACAGGCCAGCGACCTTGTCCATTAGAATGCCTGTTCTTTGCCTGAGCTGTACGTCCGACACCGCGGCAAAAGCGTCGGAAAGGTATGGCCTGTTTGTGAGCCATAACATCCTCCAAATACCTCTTAGCCTTACCAAAAGGCAACTTCCTGATAGCAAACGCAGTCTCCCTTGTGTTCTATACAGCAACAAATGGATACGAAACTTGGTGATGATCACCAGAAAATAAAAGGCATAAAAAATGCCCCCTAGAAAACAAAGACATCAAGACCCCCCAAATATCAATTGAACGAATTCTTGTATGTAGATAATCGAACACTAACATCTTTCCAAAGTAATAGAAAATCTTATATCATTTACTGAACCCTCAGTTACCAAGAAGATCCAGAGGTTCACCCATAGTACTAAATTGAGGTTTGCAATCGCAGTTGCGGTTGTGGGTGTTACGAGTTACGACGTAATTTATTTCTTAAAATAACTATGTTTCTATGTTGCAGTGTAGCAGTGAACTTGAAAAACATTACAATGCGGTTGTTACATTGCGTTGCGGCCACAATTTAATACAATGGGTTCACCCAATAACAATGAAATTAATTTTCCCGAATTGTACGATAACATCACTCACGATTACAAATACTAAGCCGAAAGAAAAAGAAACAAACAAACAAACAATTCATCCTAATAAGTTCACCGAAAATCACTTAAAGATCCTCCCTCAAGCAATCAGGAAACAAAACAGATATGTTCTGCAGCTGCTTACATAATCTAATTATTAGCTATGGCAACAACAATCATTCATTAGTATCATATGGTTCATTTGATCTTCAACCGTATATAAATAGAGAGATCCCTAAGCAACAAGCTAATCTATGCCCCTAAATTTATCTAAAGTTCAGATCAGATTATATCAAATAACGTCAAAATACCTTGATCAAATGGGGTGAGGTTCACAGCCGACACTATTGATGTCAAGCCACGGAGAGTATGCAAAGCGTTTCGAGATAAATGCATTAAAGTGCATTATGGACAATCCTTTTTTCGACCTGCTCACGGACAAGGGAACTGCAGCTTTACCGTGAACTGCACGAAATCTAGTCATGTTGCAATTGCCCATTATAGGACTAAAACTGTGTTGTATAAGAAGGTATTATTCTTAGTGTACGAACACGAATGCTAACCTTGGAATTGATCTATTTTAAATGATTATGGGTATCGAGTGAAGCTGCAAGCTCCATTATACTACACATATGGACTGATAGTTCAGCTAATTGTCACATTCATACACGTCCTTATGCTATATTGTATGTTTGTGCAAATTGATTAGAAAAAAATATTACTTTCGTTCTCTTTGGTATAACAATTTCTTAAGGCTTATTATTAGGATTGATGCAAGGCAGTAGTCCTCCATTTAATTTGGCAGTAGACGTCTGATAACTACATTAGCTAAAATAACCAAACATTCTTGATTTTAGAAAGAACAAAAATAACAGAAGCCTACACGTATACTTGTTTGAATCTTAGACTCTGACTAATGCGAAGCATAGCTCTGAATTCATTCGGAAAGACCAGATTTGCACAATCTCGTCCTTCTTGAGTTTGTTGCTCTCCACTACTGAGTTCCACGATTCGATCATCACGTAGAGTGAGTTTTTCCCCATATCCCACCTGTTAAAAGTCATGGTAGTTTTCTCCATCGATGGATCCAAGAAGCACACTTGCATTGGTTTCTTGTGAGCCAAGTCATCAGCCTCTGTTTTCGTCAGAAAGTCGTGGCTTTTGACTTGCGAGAAGGGTACGGAGAAGCGGCTGGCGGTATGATTAACGTCGGAGAAAAAGAGGGTCTTCTGAATGACTAGAACCAAACCAGAACCACCCATGTCTTCAAGTATGTACCGTTTGAATCTGTCCGGCATGTCGGGTGTTGGGATTGGAGAAGAGGGTTTCTGTTTCTTGATTCTCTTCAACTTGGATTTCAGTTCACTTCCTCGTTCTCGATCACCATCTTCAAGTATGTGCCGTTTGAAAGTGTCCGGCATGTCGGGTGTTGTGATTGAGGATTGGGGTTTCTGTTTTTTGCGTCTTTTCAACTTGGGTTTCAGTCCACTTCCCCAATCTCCATCACCATCTTCTTCTTTCAACTTGCGTTTTGATTTCTTCCCACCATTTTTTTCGAACCCCATGCTTTCTTTCTTGCAAAGAAACTCAGGTAGCTGTGCATTGTATTCGAAACCATTGGAACGGCCATGATCATGGTTTTCCTGCAGTTTCTCTCCCTCAAATTTGGCTATTTGAAGCAACCATTCGAAAGGATCTCCATTGGGATCAATGTGCTTAAAATCATCAAGACTCAGGAGTTCAACCATACTTCTTTTCTGTGTAATTGCAACAAATTCTTTTCTTGTAATTTACAACTCAGTAGCTAGAACAAATTAAGATTTTGTTTCGTTCTTCCAATGGAGTATGGGTATAAATAGAAAAAACCTTTCTTGAGTTTTTGTTTCTTGAGAGAAGAGTACTTTTGTTTTTGAATTATGAACGTCGAGCAGGGGCTCACTAATTCTAGTAGGAGTGAATTTTATTCAACGGTAAAAAGGGCGGGCAGAGAAAGGCGGCAAAGGGGCAAAGAAGTAAACATGCTTATGATGACCGTTAGCTGCTTGAGTCGGTTTCATTCTTAAAACAGGCTAATCCGGACCCGTTGAAATAAAGATAATAAAATGCCCAACAAAAGCCCAATAGCCCAAGGGTAATTCAGACATTTAAGTACAGATATTAAAATAATACAAAATACTGATGGTCGGGAAAATATTAGCTCTAAGGCCATCTCCAGTCTTCATCTCTACTCTACAACATCTCTATCTCTACTCTAGAGATTGAAACAGTAATTCATCTCAAGCGCTATCTCTACATTACCACCAACTCTACTTTATTCATAATATTTAACTATTATAATATTGATTTTACAAATATAAAATAAAACATATACATTTCTAAAAATTATTAAGATAAATAAGCATAAATAAAATATTCATAAATAACATTACGAAAAAACAAATAAATAAGAAAATTACAATTAATAATAATAATGTGAAAAACATAAGTTACATAATTATTTATTTTAATTATCCGAATTAAAATATTCATTCCACATATGCTCAATTAGTGCATTTCGTAGAGCAAAATGAGCATTTGCATCTTTGATTTGTCTAAATCGGGTAAGGAATTCTTCGGAAACGAAAAGAAGAAGAACATTCAATATCTACTACTTTTAATGTGTTTGGAATGAACTTTGATGATCTTGGAGGGAGTGGAGGGGGTCTGTCTGGTTATTAGTTAAATCCTTGTGTTTGTGTTGTTGGTTAAAATGTTGTTTGAGTTTTATTAGTATTTTCTATGTTTTTATGTTTGCTGTGGTTTTTATGTTTCAAAAAATTAGTATGTTTATTTATCTAATTTAAATATGTTTTATCTATCTTGCAATTTAATCAACTTGAATATATTATATTATGTTTAATTTTTATTTTATTGTGTAGAAATTACAATTAAAAAAATAAAATATATAATAAGATAAATTAATTTTTAAAAGAAAATGAAATTAAAAAGATAATTAAATCAAAAATCAAAAATCATGAAGAAAAACAATTGTAGCATTGCTACAGTGGCACGCTACATGTAGCGTCGAGCTACAATTGTTCTTCAGACTGGAGATGCATCTGGCGCAGGACTGGAGACTCCACAGTGCTTCAGCAACTTCACTCCAGCGCAGTGTTGGAGTTGCTCTAAAAACGGTAAAGCGGCTGAGCTCTCCGCATCTCAGCCATTCACCGCCTCCGACACTGGCAAATATCATCGGGATTGCACCTAGTGAGCTATCGAATCCTTACTACAAATTAATTTAAAATAATTTATTAAATTTAATTATTTATATTTAAAATTTTATTGATGTAATTTTTTTATGGTAATATCGAACCAAATGTGTCTATAGAAGGAAAGTAATAATTAAATAATTATACTATTTTGTAAAGTAACCACAAATTACGTTTATCATACAAAGAAAATAATGGGAACATATAAATTTTTAAAACGCGAAGGATTTAATTATATTTATCTATGGAAAATGTTTTAAATATGAGAGTTAAACTTCTATAATGATAAGTAGATTTTTTTTAAATAACGATAGTGGAGTTTAAATGTATATATGAAAAATGTATCTATGTGAAAGTTGCCAAATTTAATTAAGTGGGAAAAAATATACGAATATATTTAAAGAAAATATTTCTTAAGACAAAAAAATAATATTAAAATAGTGACTATAATAATTATAATTGCATCTAATATTAGTAAAAAAATCTTGAATGGATTGTTATTTTGGATTTTAGGTTATAAAGTTTTCTAATGGGTAAATTATACAATTTCTTATTGAATTTTATTTTTTCTCTTATTTTACTTACTACACCTACTCTGGAGATCGCCTAGGAGCTCTGCTCGTTTCGGTTGCTGATCTGGGTTTTGTTTTTTCATTTCTATGTTTTGTGTTTATTGCTCTTGATCTGCGTTTGGAACTTCCCGTGTTTGACATCGAATTGGGTTTGATCTGGGCTTTTTCCTTTATCTCCATGTTTGTTTTGTTCTGCATTATTGTAACTTTAAAAACCCTAGATCTACTTCTTGCTAGCTAATTCCAGCATAAACCTCTGAAGAAACCCTTTCAAGCCCTCTAACCCATCTGGGTATTTCTTTTTTAGGGGTTACCTCTTTTTAATTTGTTTTTTTAGAATTTTCTTATCTCACCCACAACTTTCCTCCAATTTTTCTTTTGAGGAAAATACCAGATTCAGTGATTACTGTATATGATTTTAGTGTAATTTTAATAAGCTAAATCCATACGTTCTTCTTTACTTGCTGTCCCTTTGTTGGTTTACTTGATTCGTTGCTTCATTCTTCTTTCAACTGGGTTTCAGTTTTGGGAAGTACTTATCTGTAGTACTTTTATCTAATAACTCTTCGATTACTTCGTTCTTTTACTGCCAGGACTTGCTTCCAGTACGTTGGATCTCTAGTTTGTTGTAGATGAGTTGATTTAGTTATTGAGCTAGTTATATGGTTGTGAGATTGATTATGACATTCTAATTAAGTTTAGTTTAGTTGTTAAGTTAATTGTACATATATGTGCTCTAACATAACATATATGATTAAGTGTTTTACTTTTCTTTGAGTATGATCTACTGGATTTATATTTTAGTACTTTTCTTATATCATTATCGATATTTAAGTAAGATATAAATCCAATCATTGGTTTCTAGCTGTTGGTCTTAAGTTAAGTAAGATAATGTTTATTTGTCTTAAAATCCTATTAGTAACCAACTAGGCTTCTTAGTACCTCTCAATTCTCTAGCGTTTTATTGGTGCATCTTTCGTCTTCTTTGGATTCATTTTTCATAGTTCCTCATAGCTTTGGCTATAGATGATTACTTGAGGTCACGTCATTCTTTTAGATCCCACAGGCCGTATAGAGGGAGGGCTCGACAGAGTGGTGTCAATGAGACTAGACTTAGAGTTTGTTCGTTGAATGTAGGCTCATTAAATGCTAGGCTGTTGGAGCTGACCGACGTACTTAGTAATAGGAAAATAAATTTTGCATGTATTCAGGAGACTAGGTGGAAAGGGGCTAGCGCCAGAGAGTGTAATGGGTACAAGTTGTGGTATTCAGGTGTAGATAACACTAGAAATGGGGTGGGTATCTTGGTATCCTCTAGGCTCAAGGAAAATGTAGTTGAATTTGTAGATACCGGGATAGGATCATGATGATTAAGGTTATTATAGAAGCGGAAGTGGTGAATGTCCTTTCAGTGTACGCCCCACACGTTGGCTTAGGGGAGGGGGAGAAACATTGCTTCGGGGATCAGTTAGATGATGTACTTAGGAGCATTCCGGAGGACCAAAGAGATTTCATAGGGGGAGAATTCAATGGCCATATAGGTAGTGCAACTGACGGGTATGACGGTGTTCATGGGGGTTTCGGTTTTGGTAGTAGGAACGAGGAGGGGCGTACGTTGCTTGAATTTGCTACTGCACACGATATGGTGGTCACTAACTCCTTCTTTAACAAGAGAGATGTGAACTTGATTACATTTCATAGAAGGGGACATTGTACCAAAATCGACTACATCCTGGTTCGAAATGGGGGTCGATGGGCTTGCATTGATTATAAGGTATTCTCTGAAGAGACATGTGCATCACAACACAGATTGTTGGTTTTGGTGTTCTGCGTACGCCACGGGCGGAGCACTCATAGGAGGGCTAAACTTGGTAAACCTATGATCCTTTGGAAGAACTTACATGGAGCGATAACTGATTACTTTAGGAGTAAGGTTTTGTCTAATACAAGTTTTGGAACTACAAACACAAATAATGCATATATGTTATGGAAATATATGGTAAATTCCATCAGAGAGGTGGGCAAAAACACCCTTGGGTTGTCGACAGGGAAGGTCAATGAGCATAAAGAATCGTGGTGGTGGAACGACGAAGTCCAAACCAAGGTGAAGACAAAGCAATCTTGTTTCAAGGAGTATCTACAATGCAATGATGAAGAAGAAAGATCGAAAGATAAACAAAGATACAAGGAGACAAAGCGAGAAGTCAAGAAAACGGTGGCTAAATAAAATGATAAGGCATACGAGGAAATGTACAAGAGATTAGACACCAAGGAAGGAAAAAACGACATCTTCAGACTAGTAAAATCCAGGGAGAATAGGAAAAAGGATCTAGGTAGCATTAGGTTTATTAAAGACAATAATGGTGTTCTCTTAGTGAAAGATCATGATATTAAGAGGGTTTGGGGTAGTTACTTCTTTGGCTTATTTAATGACGATGCATCTCCCTGTAGAGATAGTATCGTTGATGGGTCAGCCGACCATCATACTATGGTAAATGACTGCCCTACAAGTAGGATTGGGTTTGAGGAAGTCAAAATGACTCTTAGAAAGATGGGGAGGGACAAAGCTGTTGGTCCAGATCAAATTTCTATCAGTGTGTGGTTGGCCCTAGGAGAAGAGGGAGTTAAGTGGTTGACCAATATCTTTAATATTATTTTAGAGACTGCCAATATGCCAGAGAAGTGGAGAGAGTCTACGATGATACCAATCTATAAGAATAAATGAGATCTCCAACGTTGTGGCAACTACAGAGGTATTAAACTACTCAACCATACCATGAAACTATGGAAAAGGGTGATAGAGGCTATGTTGAGATAGGTTACTAGGGTTTCGGAAAACCAATTTTGCTTTATGCCAGGCAGGTCTACTACGGAGGTGATTCATATACTTCGACGGTTTATGGAGAAATATAGGGAAAAAATAGAGATCTACACATGGCGTTCATTGACCTTGAGAAAGTGTATGATAGTGTTCCCCGCGATACGATCTGGAAGACCTTGGAAATGAGACGGATCTTAACTACTTATATCCGGGGGATTCGTGATATGTATTGTAGATCTACTACATACGTCAGGACTACAATTGGCGACACCGAGGCATTCCCGGTGGAAATCGGACTCCACCAGGGGTCAGCTCTTAGCCTTTACATCTTCGCTTTGATTATGGACGACATCTATTGTGCAACACCAGACGGTGTCCCATGGTGTATGCTTTTCGCTGACGACATTTTCCTAGTTGTTGAAACAAAAACTGAGCTGAATAGTAGACTGACTACCTGGAAGATTGCTTTGGAAGAAAAATGTTTAAGGATCAATATTGAAAAGACAGAATATTTATGTTCAAACTTCAGTGGGAACCAAAATGATGCAGATGTAGAAGTATGCATAGAAGGACACATTCTCTCCTCAAAGGATTGTTTCAAGTACCTAGGGTCTATGATACATAAAGATGGGGGTGTGGATGATGATGTTACACACCGTATAAAGGCGGGATGGCTAAAGTGGAGGGCTGCTACTGGAGTTTTGTGTGACAAGAAGGTGCCTCTAAAACTTAAGGGGAAAATGTATAGAATGGCAATAAAACCAGCGCTGCTGTATGGATCAGAATATTGGGCAATCAAAAAGGATCACGTAAGGAGGATGGAGGCCGCATAAATGAGAATGCTTCGATGGGCATGTGGTAGGACCCTGTGGGACATGACACCAAACTCTGCTATTAGGATGTCCTTGGGGGTGGTGCCTGTATCCGAAAAATTGAGGGAGGGAAGACTATGGTGGTTTGGGCATGTCCTTAGGCGACAACCGTCAGATGCGGTCAAGAGGGTAGAGTCGATTACAGTCGACGGTGCCAGAAGGAAAGGATGACCAAGGCGGAAGTGGGAAGACTGCTTGAGATCTGATTTGAAGGATTTAGCCCTTACCGAGGACATGACCTCTGATAGGAAAGTATGGAGACTTAAGACCAGGGTAGCCGAGTAGTGTGGATCACATCCATAGGGTGTATCATTTCTGTCTTCTTTTAATGCCTTTGTAGTAATTTCCATGAATTCTACTTTTTATACGTTTCTGGCATTGAAATTTATTAAAGGCTTAGAACTAGGGTAGCGGAGTAGTGTTGTCTTAGTTTAGGTTTTAACCCATTTGACTTTATTCCTTCTCGTAGCTTGCTATCGTTGACTTCTGTGTTTCCTTCTCTTCATGCTTCATCTTTTTAAATTTAGTCGGGACTTACGTTTCTGTCTATATGCAGAGATTTTTACGCAGAGATTTATTTGCAGGGATTACTTCCCATTACAGAAGCGCATATGAAGACTGTTCAACTATGTAGTTATTTATTTATACATGCATTGCATTTTTATCTTTATTTTTCATTTTCTGACGGCCGGAGGTCTTCCACGGAATATGCTCTCAACCTGGCGTTGGGGGCAACCTACTACCCTACCTCCCCCTTACCCCATTGAATATGAGAATAGGGTTTTGTTGTTATTGTTGTTGTTGTCTTATTTTACTTACTATACTTTCAATTTTTTTCAATTTAATCACTGAAATTTCTAATTGTTCATATTTGGGTCACTCTAAATTATTTTATTATTATTATTTTGGTATAACATGGCATTTTTCAATATTAAAAGATAAAAATAATTTAAAATAAATAATAAAATAATATTTGGTTATTATTAAATTTAAAGAGATTTATAATTGTAACATCCTAATCCAATTCGACCCGAAGGTCATTGAATTATGATGTCACACGAAACCACGTGAGTAGCTAACCATTTTTTAAAACGTTTCATGAAGGTGTCATCCATAAAATTTAGTTACCAGAAAAATACGAAATATAAATGTTTAATACGGGGAGCTCCTGACATAAGTCTCCAAAAATATTAATAATCGAAATACAGAGTTACAAATTAAAATTTAAATAAGAGTCTACGACAGTACATGCCCTTTAAAACTCCCGAAACGTACTCTGAAGAAGTCGATTCTGGAATTCAAGTCCGGCGAAGAGCTCCTCAGCTGGCACCTACTGACATGCGCACGAAAACACATTCTATAAGCTGAGCTCACAAGCTCAGTGCCACCAAAAATAACCAAGATGTACTACATGCATCCAACATATAAGCACGATACAATATAGTTATGTGCAAATGCAACACTTAAGAAGAGATTAAGTATCATGGTGTAGTTTGGGGTCACACAACATCGCAGAACTCACACCCTTCTTTACTTACAACACTTAAGGAAGACCTAAGTCACCTAGCATCAGTATCTCCTTAACACTCGGGTCAAGTCCGGGTCACGAAGCATTGACACTTACCCGACTAGTCTACTCCTCTAGAGTACTCGGGATGTGTCCGGGTCACGTAGCAGCAGCACAACATCCAACAAGCATTTAAAGTGCCTAAGCACTAGATTGGATATATTCAGATATTTTATACACGTAGACGCTCACGTTGTTAAGTAATTCGAGTGTCCTCTTCGTTTCCTCGAGTATCAAAAAATGCTATTTTATGTCACTTTATTTCATAGCGTTATTAGTCGAGTTTGATCATTATCATTAGTTTTTGGATTTAGGGTTTAAGTAATTGGGTAATTCAATTAATGGAACAAACTGAACTCATTCAAACATGCTGAAACCAAGACAACATTTCATAACATTTTAGACCTCTATTGAATGAATTTCCATCTTTTCCCATCAACAAAACAATGAAGGGATTGATACTTTTGAAGAGGGATCGATCCTTTTAAAAAGGGATAGATCCATTGCACAACAGAGAGTTTGGGATCGATCATTTCTCCTAAGGGGTCGATCCTTTCTGGAAAAATTACTAGTTCGTCGGGACATGCCTATTTGAGTCACCAACTTCCATACAATTATTTCTAGGAACAAGATGAACGTTTGGGTGTTATAAAATCACTACATATTTTTAAAATACACACGAAATTTACGCCTCCCAAAGTTTCTGGTGCCGATGGTGTATGTTTCCTTTTTCTATTGTTACATGGTTATTAAAACTAAATGGATCTGCAAACTCTTATCACATTAGAATACATGGATTGTGACTTTCATCGACATCGTTGTTTATGCCTTATTTGTACGAATTGATGCAAGGTAATTTACCTTCATCAATATCATGTTTGTATCGATTAAGATTCCGAGAATTTTCATTGCATATGTAAGATGATCTGCAGATTGTATGGTTGTTGTTTTGAGATATGACGATGCACTCTCAATGCTCTGCTTGTTCCTTTACTGTACTGGACCTAAGAATCATTATCATAGATCTGCTCACTTTAAAACATAAACATTCGTAATTTCATGTTCGCTTGCGGTTTCAGTTCGTACGTTGTGATGTATTTCTACCGCAAGAGTCTCGAGTTCTGGATTTTTTCATCCTTTTATCTCATTCTGTTCTTACTGTTTTCACTGAGGGCCTTTGATTCAAAGAAAGGGTGATACCCCAGCAGTTCTCAAGTCCAGGCTGGAGGTTTTGCATCGACAGACCGAACCGGTAAGCTTGTTTCCTTCGTGTAACATAATAGAATTGTAGTCGTCGCAATTCATCGACTGATTAATAAATGGCCTTCGAGCACCTTTTATTCGATTTCATGTTTCCCGTTTCTTCATTTCGCATGGTGAACTTATAAACGAAGTCTTACCGGTTGGCAATGTGCAGGTTATCGATTACTACGGAAGCAAAGGTATTCTAGCCAATCTTCCTGCAGAGAAACCCGCAAAAAGGTCACTTCGGAGGTTCAAAAAGTCCTTTCTTCACAGGACTTGATCCTTCATCTCTCCCTTTTCTCCAAAACTTTGTAAACCGTTTCGAATTAATCCAACACTAATCCAACACATTGCCGGAAAACCGGAGTTTACGTTTCGTTAGTGAGCATTTTGCTGGCTTTGTGAGTCCAAGAGGTGTTCTTGTAACAAAATAATGGTGTGCTACAGGTTTGGTAGTAACATTGAAGTGAAAATTTTCTGATATATGGTCAATGGCCTTATCTTTTTCAGCATGACTGCAATTTTTTCAGCAGTAAGTCACGTCCATATAAACTCAAAAGTACATACATACATACATACATACATACATGCATACATAACTTTGGGACTCTGCAGAGTTACTACCAGCAAAGGGAGGGCAACTTGAAGGAGAAAGAAGAAGGAAAATGGCCAGTTCTCCTAATGTAATCCGCCCTCTGTGAAGTCCTTATATCTTTCTCGTTTAGCTTTGATTCTGCATTTGCACGTTTCTCTTCAGCTACTCTCCTTGTGGCTGCTAGTTTGTTTGCGCATCTCTCTTTTGCCCGAGCTCTCAAGCTCTCGGCTTTCACCTATAACACCATAGAACACCATTTATGAAAGAATGTTTTGGTAAAAATTAGAATGCAAAAGCCTATTATATAGATTTCCCTTAAGTGAGATCTCGGGTTCGAATCTAGTGGATATAGTCGATGTCTTGAGACAAATAAAGTAATCTAGTGTGTCATATACATGGATATAGCTAATGGGGTTACCTCTATTTTCTTCATTTCCAATTCAGCTTTCCTCTTTTCATGATTTTCCCATGCCTGTATCTTCACTTCTTCACGCTTATACCTAAACTGCAACGCGTTAGCTGCTAGGAACGGACGGAGGATTTTATATTAGATTAGCGAGAAGGAACAAATGAGCACATTACCTTGCCATATATTTGGCACGTTCAGCTTCATCCCAAGCCATGGCTCGAGTTTCCAAACTAGTCTGCTTACTAGCCTGACCCGATTCTTGTCTATTGAGTCGATTCGAACCATTCCCCTTAGCAGCAACATCAATTCCCGAGCCAGCTCGATCTCCTTGATGGGGCCTAACCGGGGTCGAAGAGCCTGAAGAAATAGGACTCCTACCAGCAGGAGTGGTGGCTCTTAACGGTGTTGTAGTTCTCGACTGCTCTTGGCTTGCAACAGGGGTCATCTCGGTGCCCATATCTCTCACACATATCGATCGAACACCCGAAACCGAGTTCCAAATAGCCAAATCGAGACCAACCGTTTGTGCTTCATCTTCACTGCTGGGATAATCTTGTTCCTTCTGCGGGCAAGGAGCTATCAGCCGTGTATCGTCGGCGTTTGAGTCCCGAGCTGGTTTGGCCTTGGATTGTGCCCTTTTGTCTCGACTCCTCGACAGCCCCACGAGCCATTTCTGCGCATCGTCCCATTTCGAAGGCGCCATCGGCTCCTTCCCCAAGGCGGGTCGATGAAACTCGAAATTTATGGCACCGCCATTACTGCTTGAAGAAATCTCATTAGCTGGTCCGAGGCTATAGCAAGTTTTATCTTCGATGGATCTCATTTTTACAAAAATCCCAAAGCGAAGTTGAGGTTATAGCCTCAGATTTGAGAAGCTTCAAGCTTATCTTTTACAAGCAACTGAAGTATAGAAAACACAGAAATGGAAAGACAAAAGTACTGAAACAGGTATCCTTCTGAGATTTTACTTTCATGGGAGTATTAAAAGCTTTGGATCCCATCCACTTCACGTGTTGGATTTTATCCCCAGAGTTTTAACTAATCACCATGGATTTACTATCAATGGAAGCTTAATGATTTCACAGACTAAAAGAAGCAACTGGGTTTTTTGGGGGGATAGAAGAAACGTCATTTAACAGTCTAAGAGAGAATAATGAGTGAAAAGCATGGATATTTGTGACGCATTCGCCAGAGGTAAAGATGAAATTTTCAGAGTTTCCAGAGCTTCAGATCCATTGAGCATTAAAATATTGTGAAAGACAAATGCTTGGGAAATTATTTGTACGGCGGGTTAAGGTCCACATAAGAAATGTATTATAAAAGATATAATATTATATAATATTTTAATAATTTCCCCAATAAAAGGATGTCGTTTTGTGTTTGTTGAGTATTAAGATAATTATGTCGAAACGATGTTATTTTGGTAAGACATTCATGTTAGTAACATCACGATGTAAAATTATCATATTATTGTGTCATTAAATTATTAATGATGGAGTGATATAATTACACTTAAAAGTAAGCGTTAGTATTAAAATTAGTAAAATTAAAACGGTGAAATAAATGAGTCAACGCTTAAAAACTGATGGGATTTGAAGTTGTTTACCCTTAAAAATATTACGAAAACAGTGTACACCTTGAAAATTGTTAAAAAAATTTAGTATTTAATTAACGAGATTGTTTCAATTAGTAAACAATTGATATCACTTGAGTATATATTGAGTCTGAATCTTTATATATATATAAAATCTTCATTGAGAAATTCATTTACTACAATTAAGTATATAATCCGAATCGATCTAAATTAGTTAAAATAAAATTTTAAAATTCGAAAAGATAAGTAAAAAGAACAATATTTTAATTTAAGCTCAATTAAAAATACCGTATTTTTATAATATTTTTAGTTGCAGTCTTTCCTGCTATTTTCAATCTTAAATTAGACTATAATCTTTTAAAAATAAAATTAGCTGACTTCATTCCCATATGTAATGGGGTAAAAGGAGGTAGGGTAGTAGGCTGGCCCCTAATACAAGGTTGAGAACAACTTTCGTAAAAGACATTCGTTATGAATTGTCCTCAATGAAACTCAATCTTATGATCACAATGTTAAAAACCTTGAGCTCTACCAACTGAACTAGACGATCAATTCAGACTATAATCTTTTAGACATCCCCAAATGCTTTGGGTTGCTGGAAACTCGAACCAACCAAAGATCAAATGTAACCCCATCTTTGGTACGGTAATAAATGGTGGTGGGAAACCATATTTAATGAGGACGATGTTTTAGGGTAAAATACAATCCAGGTCACTTATAATTACTTTAGTTATATATAGGTCCTCTTCTTCTAAAATTTATAAGTTAATCATGTAAAATATTATTACAAACATGTCACTCATTTGTTTAAAACAAAAGAGAAGTCTAACATGATTTGGTCTCATATTCATTTTAATTTCTAAAACATATATTTTGTTATTAATTTGATCCTAATTTTAATTAATGTAATAAATTTAACCTCTCATATTCAGAATTTTGTCAAATTAATCCTTTTTTATATTATCAGATCAGAGTAACAGTTGGATAATCACATTCTTTTATTAGTCTCAGATGATTTATAAGGTAAAAATATATCTAAAATTTTCTTGATCAGTTGACAATAAAAACAATTACTCTCTACGGATATTATTATTTGAATCCGAAACTCTTTAAAAAAATAATACTTATTTTAACTATTTAAATCACTTAATAAATTCAATTATTTATCTGTTTCAAAACTAAATTTAATTCGATATAAAAATATTTGAGATTCATGTAAATGTGAGCGTCGGGCCAAGTGGGAAATACAATGCCTCTGAAATCCTTCACGTGCCTGGAATGGACCCTTATCTGTCACTTATTTTAAATTGACTGTTGACGTAATTGTCAGTTAAATTTTGGATAACATTGATTAAAGGTCCCCGAATTATATTTAATAATTATTTTAGTCATTATATTTTAAAAAAATTATAAAACGGGCATTAAATTTATTGAACTGTAATAAAATGATCATTGTAATGTTATAATAAATGTAAATGTTCGATAAAGTTAATGATTATTTTATAATTATTTAATAAAATTTAATGATCATTTTGTAATAGCACGATGACATGTCATGACTATTTTATATTAGTTTGATCAATTTAATCCGAGATAAGAAAAATCAATTTGATTGGAAAAATATTTAAATACAATTTGAATGATGACTCGTCAACTCAAAATTTTTAAACGTGATGGAATACTCACTCCTGATCCCTCCTACCCTTACATCTTGCTTCGTTTTAAGTATATTTTTAACCAATTTTAAATCGCATGCTCTTCTACCACTATAAATATTTATGTAGCTTTAATTCTCATTTTTAATAAATAATTTACTCTCTTAACTTTCTATTTTATTCCATTTGTTTTTTACCGTAATTTTTGTAAATTCATTATTTTGATCAATTTTTTAACTCTTTTTATACTCTAATCGATAATTTATCCTCACGATTCATTCTTTAAAAAAAATAAAACTATAAATATATTTTATAACTTTAGATGATATTTGATTTATCAAACAGTATTACAATGCGAACAAGAATATGAAGGAATATACATGTGTATCTTAAAAGGTCAGAAAAATCCTTCAATTAGAACCAATGTGTAATAATTTTATAAATAACTATAATTAAATTTAGGCAAAAACTTGAACAAGTATAATTCATTAACTTGATTAACTCAAATTTTTTTACTCAACTTATTTAATTATTTACCTTTAAATTTAATAATCGTTTTATAACTTTTAAATTCAAATAATAAAATCAATTACTTTAATGACCTTTAATGTACCTTATCCTTTTGGGGGCTACTTGATGCTTAGAATGCCTTTGTATTGGATTGGGCAGGGAAGGATGATATCAATTGTGTTCTTTATGAGAGGATTTAAGTATGAATTTGATTGTAAATATGAAATATATAAAGAATATAAAAAATTTCATATATATTAAAAAAGGAAATTTGTATTTACAAAAAAATCTTAAAAAGTAAATCAAAATACAAAAAACCCTAATTTTTAATTAATTAATGCATCCAATTTTTGAAACTTTGAAATTTAGTTTAAAAAAATAAAAAATAATATAAATTATAGCTAAGTAATGAAATTTTAGGAATATATTGCTTCCATTTATTACTTTTATTTTCCGATTTCCCCCAAACCTCAACATAGGGCTTAGGTTAGGTTTCATATTGGGCCAGCTTAAGGCCTTCCCTTCTGCTTCGGGTGAGTGAATGAAAATTGGGTAAATTACGCAGTTGGTCCTCCATTTATTAGCACATTCTCATTTGATCCTCAAACACATTTGCATTTGAATTCAAATATATATCAAACCACTGATTTTAATCTCATCATATCGATTTTCACCATTTCAGATGCACATACTCATCAAATACTCGCATCCGAATCCGAATAACGCGACACATATCCGACAGAAGTATGACAGTCACAATCACCATATCAAAGCAAGTCACATGATTCCATATACATGTGTTGTATTAAAAATGAAGATGCTAATGGTTAAAATGAATTGAAGGTAAATCCTAAAACCCAAAGTTAACAGCATTTCATCATTAGACATCTGAAACTTACAATTCAAATCTCAGAAATCTCCGGGGGGGGCAAAAGGTATTCGAATTGAGCTTCTTTTCGTGTAACTAGTACAAGTTTAACGGATCAAAGCTCTTCATTGAATGATATCTATCTATGATCTAAAACAAGCGTCAGCTTTACCTAGCAGCCGCCAGCATAATTAAATGGCCGGCGGCTGCTGTAATAGCGCCAAACAATCCGCCAGCAGTAACCTGTAATTGAATTGGGATGTTAAAAGCATTACTCTTCCACGTATGGCATTATCTGAAACGATGCCAAAGGTTTTCTCTTTTGGAACTCGGTTTTTAACTTCCGAAAGTTTGAATCCAACATGTTGATAATGGAAAAATATAAACACAATGCCTATAGAAATTAGTTGCAGTATATTAACTTGGACATTGTTGATAACGGAAGAACATAGTGACTCGGGACAATATCTTCTCGATCAATTAGCAAAAGGAAAAGATACCTGAGGAGGAGTGTGACCGAGAAGTTCTCGTAGTGGTCTGCTCTCAGCCAAAGGATGCTCAGCGGGCAATTCACAAACAATTTGGTTTAAGACCTGAAGAACACAGGGTTTTGGAAATGAATACATGAAAGATATCAAGTCTAAGCAACTCATTTCCAATTTCCAAAACAATCAACTACTAGGAAACACTAGCAATGGAATCGAACCTGTGCCTGCCGGCCAGCATGTAATCTCACACCGGTTGCATCATACATTACCTGCAAATCAAATCCACCCCATCAGAACTCAATCCGCGTTGTAGGCAATATCAACGACATGAGATGCATATTCATTGATTAAGACACATAGTAAACTTTTCTCAGGTATCACAGGTCGATATTAGGAGAAAAACCCAGATTAGCATTAGCACAAACAAAGGAAGCAAATAATTTGGAAAACGAAGTCCTCAGGCTTTTCGTTTCTATGTTATCCTACATACATATATGTCAAACCATAAAATGAGAAACAAAAGATCATACGATGCTTGCTAAGATCAATGCAGTTGCAAATAATGCTCCTCCAAAGCCTTCTTGGACCCCGATCGCCGTAGCGAGAGCAACAACCGTAGCAGAATGTGATGAAGGCATCCCACCAGATGCTACAAGTTGCTTGAAATCCCATCGTCTTTCGTTATACCTGCAAATCTAGGAAAACCTTAAGACTCTCAGGAGAAAACTAATTACAAAGTAGCAAATACCCATATATGATATTTTTTTTCTACAAGCTTGCCACCCAACATCTAAGCTTTTCTCATCAAATTATCTGTTTGAGTAACCAAAATGGTTCCTTGAACCAAAATTTTCTTCCCCATTCTTAACAAACAGCTAGAAATTGGGTTATGAAGAAGAGTACAAAAAAGAAAGCTCGATATGCTATGATCACAAAATAGTAACTGAACCAAGGCAACAATTGACCAGAATTCAAGAAAATACATGTGATGTTATTTAGAATTTATTCCCAAACCAGGTCATATCAATTATCATCATGATTAACAGATCTTCAACGCAAGAATCAGACCAAATTATGACTCAAAACAGAT